GATGTGACAGCTAGAGTTATAGGAAATAATAAATTTGTTAAAAAATATGGGAAAAGTTCTCAAAGAAAATAATGAAACGCCGTTTTTAATTGAAAATTTTAGAAGATATTAATTGAGTTATATGGTACAAGCATTCATCATATTTAATGAAAACTCCTATTAGATGTGATTTATTTATACCATTCAATGGTGTAAGTAGAATTCGAGAAAAAGAAACGGATATATGCTTAACTTTTGATTTATTGTTCCGATTTCTCTTTTACGAATCAATATTTATGAAACTTAAATTGCGGTAATATTTCTTAATCCTAATAGTTAACGTTTTAAACACAAAAACCTCACTCAAGATTAAATATGTTTAGTTTATATCAAATGAGTTTAATTAATTTTACAGAAAAATTCTAAGTCTAACTCAAAAAGTAGGGAAGAGTGGGGTCAATTGTAACATTTTTTACTTAACTATTTTTAACTAACAAANTTTTGTGTTGTGATCCTTTCCTAAGCATAAGCACTATTCTAGTAGCGCCCTCTTCCGGCGAGTATAAGTGCTCAGTGTACAATGACTGTGCTCAGTGTTATCTACTTAATACGTCAGTAGATGGGCCCCTGGTTATTGAAACAAATGGTTAAAAGTGAAAAGGAAGACTAATGGGTTTAAATGACAACATGTAACAGCTATAGAAAATCATAAATTTGTTAAAAATATGGTAAAAGAGTTCTAAGAAAATAATGAAACGCCTTTTATAATTGAATATTTTAAATGGTTTTAATTGACTTATAGGGTAGCAGTATTGATTATATTTAATGAAAACTCCTATTTTATATGATTTATTTGTAGCATTCAATGGTATAAGTAGAATTTGAGAAGAAAAAATGGAAAATATGCTTAATAACTTGTATTAGGGGGATTTCTATTTTAAAAATCAATGTTTATAAAGTATAATTTATGGTAATATTTCTTAATTCTAATAGTTAACGTTTTAAACACAAAAACATCCCTCAAGATTGAATATGCCTATTTTATATAAAATTTGTTCAGTAAATTTTGTAGAAAAATTCTAAGTTTAACTCAACAATTACTCATAAAACAAAGATTGTTTTTGTCTTGTATTATTAAATAAATAATTGAATCGGTCTATTGTTAATAGTTTACAGCGTATGTTTACTTAAGAGTTTATTCGAATTTTTAACAGCCTTTTAATTCAATTATTGTACGTTTACTAAACTGTAAAAAAATCAGTTGAATTTACAGAAAAAAAAATGCTAGTTGGTGTGACAGTATAAAACCGTTTATTTCACACAAAAATACTGTTATTGAAAAACAGACAGCCGTTTTTTAAGCAGATAAATACAGTTATTTTAACAAAAAACTCTAAAAATTAACTATGTCAGTATTGTGACAGGTGCGAGTCGATAGCAGCATTCATACGATCAATCGACGCTGGGATTCGAACTGCGTAACCTCATTGGGATTTGAACCCTCTGTCCCCTGAGCTAGCAGCATTCTTGAAAGTGAAAAGGAAGATCTATGGGTTTGAAAGACATGATGTGACAGCTAGAGCTATAGGAAATAATAAATTTGTTAAAAATTATGGGAAAAGTTCTCAAAGAAAATAATGAAACACCGTTTTTAATTGAAAATTTTAGAAGATATTAATTGAGTTATATGGTACAAGCATTCATCATATTTAATGAAAACTCCTATTAGATGTGATTTATTTATACCATTCAATAGTGTAAGTAGAATTCGAGAAAAAGAAACGGATCTATGCTTAACTTTTGATGTATTGGTCCGATTTCTTTTTTACAAATCAATATTTATGAAACTTAAATTGCGGTAATATTTCTTAATCCTAATAGTTAACGTTTTAAACACAAAAACCTCACTCAAGATTAAATATGTTTATTTTATATCAAATAAGTTTAATTAATTTTACAGAAAAATTCTAAGTCTAACTCAAAAAGTGTTCATAAAACAAAGAATGCTTTTGTGTTGTGATCCTTTCCTAAGCATAAGCACTATTCTAGTAGCGCCCTCTTCCGGCGAGTATAAGTGCTCAGTGTACAATGACTGTGATCAGTGTTATCTACTTAATAGGTCATTAGATGGGTCCCTGGTTATTGAAAAAAATGGTTAAAAGTGAAAAGGAAGGCCTATGGGTTTAAATGACATGATGTAACAGCTATAGAAAATCATAAATTTGTTAAAAATATGGGAAAAGAGTTTTGAGAAAATAATAAAACGCCTTTTATAATTGAATATTTTAAATGGTTTTAATTTACTAATATGGTAGCAGTATTCATTATATTTAATGAAAACTCCTATTTGACATGATTTATTTATAGCATACAATGGTATAAGTGGAATTTGAAAAGAAGAAACGGAAAATATGCTTAATAACTTTTGATGTATTATTCGGATTTCTATTTTAAAAATCAATATTTATGAAGCATAATTTATGGTAATATTTCTTAATTTTAATAGTTAACGTTTTAAATACAAAAACATTCCTCAAGATTAAATATGCCTATTTTATATCAAATTAGTTTAGTTAATTTTGTAGAAAAATTCTAAGTTTAACCAACAATTACTCATAAAACAAAGAATGTTTTTGTCTTGAATTATTAAATAAATAATTGAATCGGTATCTATTATTAATAGTTTACAGCGTATGTTTACTTAAGAATTTATTCGAGGGAGTTTTTTTTAACAGCCTTTTAATTTATTTATTATACGTTTATTACACTGTAAAAAAATCTGTTGAATTTACCGGAAAAAAAACTGTCAGTTGGTGTGGCAGTATAAAACCGTTTATTTCACACAAAAATACTGTTATTATAAAACAGACGACCGTTTTTTAAGCAGATAAATACAGTTATTTTAACAAAAATCTCTAAAAATTATCTATGTCAGCATTGTGGCAGGTGCGAGTCGATAGCAGCATTCATACGATCAATCGACGCTGGGATTCGAACTGCGTAACCTCATTGGGATTTGAACCCTCTGTCCCCTGAGCTACTGTGGCTCTTGTGTCTCAGTACTAAAAAAACATCGTAAACTGGTTTTAACTTAAAAATATTGAAATAATATTCAAGAGTAGAAAAGCTTGAAACTATAGTGACTTACCGTTTAAAAATGTTTGGCAACTTAACTAACCAAAAATTATATCTAACGAAATAGAATAATCAAGTAGAGTATCAATTAGGCAATAAATTCGAATCGCAGTTTAATTTATATGATTTTCAAATTTTTTAAACAATTGATGAAAATTAAAAGCAAGTAAAGAAAATAATCATAAAATGATTTGAAAAAATGTAGAGTTATAGTACGATTTCATGACAAAAGCAAGATTTCATTTTCAGATTTCATTCAAGATTCGAGATTGATTATAAGCAAGATTTCATGACAAAAACTAGAACTTGATTTGACGGTTCTAATCCGTTTATAATTAGGTTGAAAACAAAAAAAAAACCGTTTTGTCAACAAAACAACTTTAAACCGCCAAATATACTGAGAAAGTTTGTAAAAAGAACAGGACTTTTTTTTTTACTATGTATTGATAAACGGGATTATCACAAAAAATTTTCATTTGGTTAATTCTATAAATTGTTTAACTATTCATATTAAATTTACTCATTTGAATTTTTTTTTAAATTATCTAAGTGCTACAGACATTCAAGCATTAGGTCTTGAAAGGTAATATAAGTAATTTTTTATTTATTTATTTATATATATATATTTATTTATTTTTTGCCTACCTGAGGAACTCATATCTTAAAATCTAATGGCTACCAAATTAAAAAAAAGTGCATAATAAATAAAATGCAAAAATAATAAAAGGAAATAAGATGAATAAATAAATATTTTAAATTACAAAATTATCTTTCAATAGAAAATTAGTTTCGACTTCAGAATAAAGTTTCTGATTCTACTACATAGATCGATCAGAGAAAAAAAAATAACAAAGCAATCACGCATTAAATTGATATGAGCATTCATTTTGGTATTAAAAATGTGAAATGATCCTTAATGATTACCATTATAAGTGATTTTTATAATCCGTATCATAAAACTGAACATATTAAGGACCACAAGTTAAAATTTAAGCAAAGAAAAAACAAAATCGATATCAGAAATCCTTACATTTTTACTTAGCATGAAAGGATAAAATTCGACAATTAAAAGTTATTTTACAAAAAAAAAACTAAACATCTCAAACAAACAAGCTTCAAAGCTAATTAATTTTTATGATATCAAATTGAATGCAAATTTAAACAACAAAAAAACAATTGTTTATTTATTTAAAATAGTTCTATCATTCATAATTGGTAAATTTGATTTTACGCAGAATTATATCAGAAAAGGTCATTCTTATTGGCTCTGAATTTTATTCATGGAACCAGTTTGCATGACTCCAACACAAGTGGCATTTCTTCACCAAGAAAATGACAGAGTAAAATTAAAATTGCTTCCAAAAAATCATACATCCTTGAAGTTAATGAAAGTAACCCCTAAGAACGACTAACCTCTATAACGACCATTTTACTGTAGAACAGAGAGTGGTCGCTCCTGAGAGGTTTCACTGTTTTCAGATTTGGGAATAAATTTTAATTTGAAATCATCGTTAATTAAAGTAAGACATTCTAAAATAAATTTTGAATGATGTGTGTAAGCAAATAAATGATTGTAAGCTTACTTAAATTTATTTCTTATGAAAAATTTAAAAAGTAGATTTTCCTTTTCTTTTTAACGACAAGAATTGTAATGAAGTGCGTCGATAAAAACGTCGATAAACATTTTCGATAAAATAAAAATTTAAATTGGCTCTTCACTGACATACTTGATAAAAATCATTGTTATTGTTTGATATTTTTTATAAACAAGGTAAAGGGATTCAAAATAGAAGATTTAAAAATAAAAAAAACTCTTAACATTATAATATTACGAAACATAGGAAACGAAGTTCAGACTGTAAGAAAACACAAATTTCCACTTTTTCTTTCTTTCTGAAATTTTATCTCGAAATAACTTTGTTTTCTGACTAGCTGTTTATCTGACTCTTTCAATCGCTTATTATCTTAACTTGTAAATAATCAAACATAACGTGACCAAAAAGCTAACTAAATAACAAAGCTAAGTATTAATGGTCAATTCATTAAATATTGTATATTGTGAGAATCTGAATAAAATATAATGACAACTGCTTCAGAAAATGAAAAAAATATTAAGGAAGAAGCTTTCAAACTTTGCAAAGATTTTCTTGGTACACCATGGAATGAAATTTCTTTGGCTGATTTCAACATATCATCTGTAAGGTAAAAGAATATTTTAATACGTATTACATAGTTTATATTATTTAATTTAGTTGTTTAACAAGATTAAATTTCATATTTCTGAACCATTTAAAAATAATAATTTTAAACGAATAATCGATTTACTTAAAAATAAGTATAACAAGTAATTTTCATATAATAGGTATCAAGATTCTAAAAATTACAGAGCCTAGACAGTTTCTATACTGTAAAAACTGTGGTGTAATATCTCTCCAAATTTGATGTTGAACACTCCAAAAAGTTTTGCAATTCTGTGAAGAATTCTGGATCAAATTACGATATAAAATACCAGTATTATCCTATGCACACTGCATCATCCTAAAATACATTTTTTTCCATAAATTTTACAGCAATATTTATCTAATTCGAGTGATTCAGTGATTTTACAGTAATTATTACTGCAAAAATTACGGTGCACCAATTTTTTTGCTCCGTAACAAGTTTTGATAAAAATGGATTTTATGGTAAAAATATATTTGATCCGGAATTTTTTACAGTGTACTACAATTTAAGGGGAGTTGGTAGGGCATATACCAATAATGCTGAAACTGGCCATTTTCGATGTAGCTTTTTTCAGCATCTAAAGATATTGCTTCAGGTTTTTTTTTCACAGAATATTTACATATACATTTTTACACTGTGATAGCTATCAATACTTATCTTTGACAGAAAATGTTTTTAAAAATTATGAGCTGAGAGCTTTTGATGTCTGAAAAAGTTTCATCAAAAATTTTCCACGACTCAAAAGGTATTCCTGTTAACGCTAAAACATTATCTCAGCAGACAACTGATATAATCTCAAATATCCCCCAAAAATTTCGAAGCGATATCATGAGTAGTTACTTAGAAAAAGTCCATCGTAAAACGTCAGTTTTAGCATCATTGATATATGCCCTATAAATAGAATCAGTGACACATTTATAATTTTCTTTTTTTTTTCTTTTCAAAAGTCATTTGTAATTTTTTCGTTTCGTTATTCTCAAGAACGTAACTGCACTGAAACTTGGGAAGGGGTCCCTTTCTGAAACAGCAATTTTAAAGTCCACTTAAGCATGAGATCAACTTATAAAGGGAATTTGCTTTTTCACTTTGGAACTTGTAATGTCAACTTAGACAGGTGATCAAGTTTTTTTCTGAAGCTCATGAGACGTGTAGTTACACCGGTGAAGTTTACTAGAATTATCCACACATGGGAAAACAAAGAAAAATCATTTATATCAAGGTCTAATTTACGATTTAAATTGATATTTCAATTTTTTTTTTCAGATGTTATTTGTAAGTTTTTATGTATAATAATTTAACGACCGTTATTTCAGATACTCCATATCATGAATGACCTCCTTACACTACGTTTATTAAGTTGCAAAATTACCATAAGTATTTTGATCTTTTAATTTTTCTATTAGTGGCTTTTTACAAAGTCTTGCATTCCCTCCATAAATTGTTGCTGATTTGAGCAGATGAATTAAAATATTTGATTCCTGTTGAAATTTAGGGGTGGTATATCAAATGCACTTTACTGCTGCTCTCTTCCAAGTCACGTGGTAGTTAAAAATCCTGGCACACCTAGACGAGTGCTGTTAAGATTCTTTGGTCCAGTACAAGATGAAGAACATACAAAAGTCACTGAAACAACCACTTTTGTGCTCTTATCGGAAAGAAAACTGGGACCCAAATTGTACGGAGCGTTTTCAAATGGAAGGCTAGAAGAATATATCCCGGTGAGTTATTGTAGACTTCATACGAAAATAAAATGGCATTTTTGGTAAATTAGTGAAATTGGTTTTAGAATGTTTTACTTATATGTATATTTGTAATTCCTTCCGTCCCAAATTAGATGCTGTATGTAGGTTGAAAATTTTGTCCCAAATTAGTTGCTAGGTTTCCATAAGAAGGTGGAATCATAAATAACTTCCAATGCTGTTTAGTAGATCAACATCAGTGAAATTATACTACTAATGAATTCACGATTCATTAGCTAGAATAGACTTGAAAATAACCACTCGCCACATGACGAGTCAACAAAAAAAAGTAGCTACTTAAATAAATAACCGGCCACTTTTCCCATCTTCTTTTTCTTTTTTGAAAATTGTTTAACAATAAAAGCACATCAACGCAGAAAGACTCTGAAGTACAGAATTTTCATTTAAACGTCAAATGTTTACATCAATTTGTTATAGAAAGAATCATGTGGAAGGAGAGTTCTTTTGCAATTCACATATTTCAAAATTGTAATGTATATATAAAATGTATTTTGCTTTAGCAAATATTTTTATAAAGTTCTTAAGAAGTCATATGTTTAACTAAATTTTGTCACATATTTAAACTATTTTTATAGTTGAATTAATTTTTTGTAGCTGTAGATTATTTCTAACATAAATTTAAACTATAATTTAATCCAAGCAACAAAAAAAAGTTCGCAAAAAGAGGCTATTGAATGAAAATGACCTATCAATATCGGTCATCGACTCATTAAGTTTGAGGAAAAAGTGGCTACAAAATTATTAGAGTCTACCAGCCACTGGCTACTAACTGAAAATTTAAATTTTCAGATCTACGCCAGCTGATAGTTTTATGCTGTTACTGGTGGAAGAGTCCTTGCAAAATAGGGTGTGGCTTAAAACTGGCATGTTTTTTTTAAATTAATTATTTACTGATTTAAAAAGAAAATGAGGGGATGATTTGGAAGCAAATATAGTTAATTGATAGCATAGCACCTTTAAATTTCAGAAAAATGTTCAAACAAATTCATAAGATCATCAGTATCAATAATCAACCCAAAGGACAACTAATTTGGGACAGAGGGAGTATTATTTTTGGCAATAGAGAATTAAGTACAAGTGTTTTGCCAATAATCATTTTGCAAAAATGTGTTAAATTAGTACAGTTTTTTAAAAACTCTGCCGGAATAACGGTTTTTTTCCGATTAATATGTGAGTTTATACAGTTATTTCATGAGTGTTTGGTTAAGATTTGATTATCTGAAAGTTATCTTAAAATGTCTGGTTAAGATATTTGGTTAAGTGAAAAATGATGCGTTTAAAAGGGATTTTTTTCTGTTAGCAACCACTTTAGGTTTAAAAAGAAAACTCTTTGGTAAATTTCCTATCAAAGTTGGATTTGTTACGGCCATTGTAATAAAGTCTCTGAACCCTAATTATGCAGTCAAAAACCTAAACAAGGTCATGCCTTCTATAAAAAAAAATTGGTGTGCTAATAACAAAATTGCAATTAATACAGAAAAATCGAAACTAATGTTCGTTAGACGCAAAAAAGGAACAAAATTATAAAGCAAAATGTGTTGTTATTCAACCAAAGTATTCCAATAGTTAATCATGCAGACTATCTAGAACTTAGCATCAAACAACAAGTTAACCTGGAACCTACACATTAAAAAAGTCATCAACAAAGCCTAAACTGCATATAGCTGTCTCAGACCAATTATTAATTAAAACTCGTCATTGTTATTAAATCTTAACTGAACACTTAATGTGTATCAGGCTGATTCTGACTTAAGTCAGCTCTACATGGTGCTGTTTAAATCAAATGGAAAAGCTAGAAATATCTTTCAAAAAAAAAGCGCAGTCGTCTTACTGGTGCACCATACTTCTTACCAAGCAAAGCAATTAAAAATGATCTAAATATAGACACCATTAACGAATTTGTCAATAAATTGAGTGTTACTTTCTGTAGTAAATCGATAGAAAATGATCCAGCTGACTTTAACGAGATCCTCAATAGAGAATTAGCCATAGATTATTACCCAATAACTTCATTTCTACTATAAGATTGTATACTATCCAAACACAACAAATTACCCCAATTTAGATCAAATTTCAAAAATCATACTCCGCACCCGTGAAACCCGTCTTGCCGGGGGGAAGTGAGGGAGTATACTGTTCGCGTAGAGTACACACTCGCGACGTTTTAATTTTATGTTAAAAGAAAAGGCAACAGTTTACTTAACATCTTCTTTCCCTCAGAAAACGCTATCGTAATATTATATGGTAAAATTAGACTAGAATAAGATCTGCCTTCGAGAAATACCAATGCTTTCAAAACCGTCCCTTAAAATTTCTTTCCATTCAGCTCTTCAATTTCTGGTTTCGAATTTGCCTACACTATCTTTTTCTTTCGTAGGCCAAACACTTGTCAACAGATGATGTCAGGAGATTGTCTACATCAGTAGCTAAAGCTATGGCTAAGATTCATGCTTTGGACTTACCACTCAGAAAAGCACCAGATTCATGGTTAAAGCATATGAAAAAGTAAGAAGAAATGAGATCACCCTATTTAAAACGATTCCTTTTTTAACCCCATTCCTTCTAGAGATTTTAGTTTCACGTAAATTCAATAGTTAGAAAAATAAAAATCGTTCGACCTTAACTTAAGTTCATGCTGATTATCACACTGGGTGTCTTTCCCTTTTGTCATGCCAACCATATTTTCTTCAGAAAACACTTGTGCTCATGGTGCAAGATACTAATCAAGTAAATAAAAGATTAACTTTTTGTTGTCAATTAAAAATCTGAACAGCGTGAAAAAGAGTAGAAACAATTTGAGATAGATGAGACTTGCTTACATCGTACTACTTTTGATATTCAAATTTTTATCAGGCTTCAATTACATTTGAAATATTCCAATAATGAAATACAGTTATTCATCTATTTAAATTATTTTTTGGTAATATTTGTACTATGTGTACTGAAAATTGTTTATCACAAGGTCTGCAAGTGGTACGGCTTAGGAAACCTGTTGCCTAGTTCGTAGCACCTGTTTTCTAAATTATACCAACCTCAAAATTATATAATAATTATGGTTACGTGAATATGTTGACCATGAGTAACTCAAAACAATTTTTCACTAACAAAAAACGTAATGTGGTAGTAAATTTTAGTACTGTTATGAAAGTAGAACAGCATTATAAGCATTTAAAATAATAATAGAACAAGATCTTACGTGCTACAACGCTCTACCTCGACTTTGATATTGCTGCTTCAACATGAGTGCGGCTTATAAGACTGCAACGTTTTCAATTGTTGCAGTCTTATATGCCGCACTCACGGAATGAAAAAGCTTGTTATTAACCCTTTACTTACGGTGTTTCATTCGTATCATTACATCTGATCCACTTTTTGTACCAGCTGTAAACAAAAGGCTAAGAGAAATTTAATCCAGAAGTAGTTTTTCAGTCACTTTTCCACAGTTTGGCTATATTACAAATTAAAAATTATTTATTTAATAGTTGAAGTCGATACGTTACTTTTTAATTGTACCGATACGATTTAAGTCTGCCCGCGAGGTACAATTAGTTAAATAAGTGGAGATTTAAACTAAGAGTTAAGTGTGTCCAAACTTCAATTAATAGTTAGCAAAGAAACAGAACGTAGCAGGAAAGGGGGTTAACTATTATATGATGCATTTAATGTTCTGTTCATAACTTTAGTTCTGCTATATCCTTTTACGGGATGTTAAAACACGAAAGCTTGTAAAACCGATTACCTTAAGAACAAACTTAACAAGAGTATACAACGAATTGATACTTCTGCATGGATCTTTACGGGGGAAAAAAGCTTCCTAATTTAACCACTAGAGCGTTCTCCACACTATGCTTCGTTAGAAATCATAAGTGGTACGATTTGTGAGAGGTGCTATATAGGACAGACATGCTTTATAAAACATACTCTAAACAGACATACTTTAGTTTTGCTTCCATAACGAAGTGCCTTACAAAATTAACAAAGGAAACACAGATATGGCAGAAAATTATAAACAAGTTACAAAAAAGATAAAAAGGCTAGCCAAATGAGATAGAGAGAATCAAATCGATAAAGATAATCTAAAAAAAGAAGGGAGATGAGAAATAAAATAGAAAAATAGATTTCTAAACATTTTGGAAAAAATGGGATAGGAAGATCTTTAACAAAATGAAAAGATTTTTTTGAAATATGAAATGAGTTGCAGAAGTCTAGATCTGCAAATGAGAAAATTTTTTTAAACTTTTGTTGTTATCAAGCCACCATTTCATGCAACATTGAACATCTAACACAATTCTTTACAGAATCGATGCACAAAATATCAGTTTGAAAAAGATTCAATCCAATATTTATTCAACCAATTTTTATTTAAAGATTCGGCAGAATAAATGTGTGTTCCATAATTAAATTCTCCTATAAAATATCCTTGAAACCGGAAATATGGGAACTGATAATGCGCCCCATATTGTGTCCCTAAAACCCAACATGTAAGAACAGATAATATGTCACATAGTACGTTCCTAAAACTCGAAATATAAGAACAGTTAATGCGTTTCATAAAATGTCCTTAAAACCCGAATATAAGAACAAGTTCTTAAAGTGTTTTTACGTAAGAATAAGTGTTGCTTACATCAATGAATTACTCTTGTTTAAAGGTGGCTTGAAGACATGGAAAACTGTGGAACCAATAGATCAGATGATAATTGCCTACTTGGAAACATGTTCAGAAATGAAATGGATTTCTTAAAGTAAGTTGGATATTAAATGTATGTCTGCATTATAAAATACGATAACTAATAAAAAATATGAGAATGAGGAATAGTAATCATGATTTTTACTTAAAGAAATTATTCGGATATTTAGATGCGGAGTCAAATTGATTGGGACTATTGTCCAAAACAAAAAATCTTGTAATTCCAAAAAATAAAAATAAAAAACAATTCGGGTATTGCGATACGTGCATAAGAGGAGTCAAATTGATTGATACTATTGTCCAAAACTGAAAATCTTGTAATTCAAAAAAAGAAAAGAAAAACGATTCGGGTATTGTGATACGTGTATAAGAGGATTCAAATTGATTGATACTATTGTCCAAAACAGAAAATCTTNTGTGAAAATACGTTTTCAAAAAAAAATTTTTTAATTAAAAAAAAAAAAAAAAAAACTGTTCGGGTATTGTGATACGTGTATAAGAGGAGTCAAATTGATTGGCACTATTATCTAAAACAGAAAATCTTGTAATTCCCACAAAAATAAGGGGAAAAAAAAGAATTTTAAGTACGTTTAGTCTCTTATAAAATCTTGAGTTCTTATTAGAGACAGAATGTTATGGAGTTAATTTAATTTATTTATTTTAATTTATTTACTTTAATTTATTTATTTTAATTTATTTACTTTAATTTATTTATTTTTAATTTTTTACTTTTAGTTTTTTAATTTTCTTTTAATTTTTTTTTAATTTTAAATTTTAATTTAAATTAAAATTAATTTAATTTATTTATTAATTCGCATTGAAAATTAATCATTCAAAGTATTTCTTAAACGCAGAAACAATTTTAAATAACCACACATTTTGTGCTATGATTAGCTTTTAAAATTTTTAGCTTTATTATAAACTTGGCACTTGTTTAACTTGTAAACTTGTTTAAACCGCAATATGCCAACAGTAACAAAATAAAAATGCAAACAATAAAATTTTTGAAATCGGAAAAAAATTTTACATTTAATCTGTCTGCTCAACACATTATTATGCTTTCAAATCTTTATGAAAATTATATGAAAAACGATATTAACATTTTGCTTGCGGCCCTTAGCATGATGAAGCCATTCTGGTCCAATTACTGTTCCAACCATAAGCAAATTAGGGTTAAAAGAAGGTACACTGCACAAGGTTCCCATGACCTAGAAAAATATATGAATGGTAGTTAAGATTTTTCAAGACTACTAAAATTACTTAAATTTTCAATTTTGGAATTATGAAATTATTCTCTAGTTTCTTGCCCGCATATATATTTTCTTTAAATTAAATATTTATCTATAGCTTAAAACATCTAGGTATCACTTTTATTACCACTTTCAAAAAAAAATGTCAGACCGTGGGAACCCTGATTGAAGACATTTCCTACAAGTACAATGCAGTTTTGAGCATTTGTTTTTAATTGTTGTGGCTCATAGAATAATGAAAGAAATACATACGTACATTATTTTGCAAAAAATATATTTTTTTGTATTCCTGAGAAATGTTTTTAAAACATAAATACTGTTTTTCAGAAAAGAAATGGAAAATTATGATTCTCCGTCAGTTTTCTGCCACAATGACTTGATTGGAGGTAAATTTTTGTTTAAAATTAGGTGATATTGAAAATCTGCTTGAAGGTTTTTGAGTTTTTGTGCTATTCATAAAACTATTGTATTTTCATACAAATAATGCTAAACGTATTTAAATAGTTAATGATATTTATAACTACAAAATTTTGATATGCGATGAATGTTGATATTCTCCACTGAGTAGGGGAGAGTGGGGTCAATTGTAACAGGGTACGATTGTAACAGAGCAAAAATTTCGAGTGTCTGGTTCTAGATTTGGTTCCTAGGGGGAGCACAAGGTGTATTTACTAAATCTACATGTACATCCCTGCTGGCAACCATTTTTATGTACTTTTGAAAGAGTTACATCACAAAAGATATTTTCAAGCTACGTAAGTACTTTTTTCGGTGTTAGAATATTATATTGTAACAAAGTAATTTTGTTTAAACAAATTAAAATTATTAACCGAATATGTAAGTTAACACCTTAATTGACATTTCAAAAAAAAATATTAGTTTTGTTAATTAACTAGCATTGTTTTTAACAAATGAAGCTGAAATGGCGTCTTGGGGGTGATTGTAACAATAAGTAAAGGGACGATTGTAACAGCTGAAAATAAATAATCTTATGTTTACAAACCATTACTTAACTCTTTAAGAACCACTGATAGTTTCCTATATCATTTATAATATGTTGCATGTGCATTATTTTATTTGTCACCTTTCACAGCATAAATTAAAATTTTTAACCCCTTAAAGTTAAAAGTTTAACCCTTTAGGTCTCAGCTCATTATTATTTTTACTCCTAAAACATCACTACTATTTTGATCAATAAAAAAATATATCACAACTATGATAATATGTATAATTAACTATGTTTTAGTTGAATTCATGAACTGTTACAATTGACCCCGTAAGTGGGGACAATTTTAACAAGTGCACGACTGTCAAAAATTGTTAATAACTAATATAATAACATTTAAAATAAGGTATTTATTTTCTTTTTCTAGTAGACGATAGTCTACTTTGCTCGTTTGTCAATTAATACTAATAATTTATTGGATTTTTTGCTAGTTAAAAATAGTTAAGTAAAAAATGTTACAATTGACCCCACTCTCCCCTACTGACATTCGTTTAGACATTGATAAAAATCCTTAATATTTGTTTTATCCAACTTATTTTTAATTTATTTGATATTTAATATTTATTGAATATTAATAATATTCGATTGGGGTAGATAATAGTGGAGAGAGTATCGATTAGTGACTCTGAACTTAAGAAAATCAACAGGAAAAAAATTACCTTTGACAATAAACAATAGTGTAGCAAATACCTTGGAAAAAACGAATATTCACCGGTTTTTGTTAACATTAATTTTTTTCGGGCTTTCATAGTAACTTATATATTTATTTATGCATGCTATCTTAAATCCTTATTTGCAAAAAATTAATTTTTCGTTAATTATTTGTAATTAATTAAAAACCTTATTCGTAAGTAATCAATCATTAATTGATTTTTTATTTGCTTTATTACTATTGTAATTTTTTTAGCTTGCAAAGTTAAAGGAATTTCAGACAATTAACTTTTGAAACTGAATTAACACTAAGCAAAAACAATTGAAAAATAATTCTATGGCATTTATAAAAATTCAATATTTTCTGAGTAAAAATAGAAACGGAAGATATTATGTACTAAGTCTGAAAGCACATTTTGGAGACAAAGTTTTTTCTTTTTTTTTTTGCATGATTTATATGCAACAAAAAGTTATTTCTTTTTGCATCAAAATATTTCTGTGAAGATATGATATAGTTCAAATTGTTTGTAGAAAACTACGTACATAAAATAGAAAATTAATTGCACGCAATAATATAGATGCGCCTATTATTCTGCAAACAAGTTTAACATAAAGGCTTAAAATTATTTTAATTGCTCTAATGATGTACAAAAACTCAGTTTTAAAATTTTTCCGCCACCTATATTTTCCAACAGTTGTTCATGAAAACAGTTGAATATGTCAATTTAATGAAACCTTAATTTATAGATCGCAGCTCAAACTGTTACCACAAGAAATTTCCAGAAGCTCGTAAAAGTTAAATTGCGATAAACAAATGTTATAGAATAACTATTTTAAATTTTAAACTATTCGGCATTTTTGCATGCAACTTAAAAAGACCTTTTTAAATAATTCTTCCATCCAAAAAAAATAAATAAATAAATAAAATAAAAAACTTAAAATTAAAGGTTTGAAGCTTCAATATCTTAATCAACACTCTGAGCTTTTCGACACTGCAAATTTCCGTTTTACGAAAACGCCCCCCTTTTTTCTCTCATGTGACGTATGCAAACAATTAATATCTTTATCAAACAAGAAGTTGTAAATCTATATCGATCTATAAAAACTTTATTAAACGCGGAATCTACCTTTATTTCTTAGTTTACGATAACTATGATATAAGCATGATAGTTAGATTTAACTGGAACATAACTATAACTCTTTGATACACACTTGGTTAGTTGCAAATTTAAATGATATGATGACTAAATGTAATATACATTTCCTTACCAACCCATAAGTATAGTTATTGTCTGCGGTAAGAACTCCCCCTGCCACGAAGTCTGGGGCCGTCTGCTGCTATGGAAACATGAAAAGCGTATTTCAGGGAGGGTAGCTTCTCTTCACTCTAGGACTAACACAATAGACGGAAGAAAAAGATTCCCTTTCTCTAACAGCCAACCCAATATTGCTTACTACCACTTATGTTCCTTGCCTTGTAATTTTGAACCCAATCCAGAAGACCAGGGAACTCCTGGATCAAATATTGGGAGAAATCTGACTTTGTGGAGGATTTTTTGATGGAGCTAACCTGCATTTGCGTTATATGGATAGGAAAACCACGAGAACCTACCCCGGTTAGTTTGACAGCAAGGGGACTCTAACCCATGATCCGTCTACCACTGAGTATATTTCACGTCAGCACTGTGGTTGGTGCAAGCCGGATGCGGAATTCGTATCGACTGGGATTCGAAACCGGATCACCGCATTGGAAGGTGAACGCTCTATCCCCTGAGCCATCGCGACTCTGACGAATGGATAGGGGAGTTCTTGCTTTAGCACACTATATTTAGGCGCCTATGCATATCGGCGGAAGTGGAATTATTGTTTGGAATTGTTTTTATTGGCACAGACTAGGACCCTAGGTTGCTAACTTTATGCTGACACCTTATACACTCTTGGATGACATCCTGTTTCCTAAGATATGTTCCAAAAAAGTTACTTCAAGAAGATAGCGCACATCTTTATAGTAAGGTCCACTATGATATGGTGAGAACGGTAACCTTAACTTGAACCCTATCGAGAACCTTTGGAACGAGTTGAAGATATACAACAGTGGAGCAAAATTAGTGACTCATACTTCTTTAAGTTGATTGGTAGAAAATACCACTAAGCGTCAAACGAGGAGGTTTGCAAAGTATGTCTCATGTAGTTGAGACTATAAATATTTCTCGTGGCGGTTATGAGTACTATTGGATATGAATATTTTTTTTATCAAAAGGTGTCCAATACTAATTGGTAGTGTGGTATTTGCAAGTAAATAGTGCACTATTTCATCCGATGAGCTAAAGTGACTCATTGGATCCCGGTTTCTGAACTCTGGTCAGGACAGCCCATTCAATTAACATCGTCACCATATCATTCAGTGAAGGATTTTGTAATATGACAACTGGAGCTGTTTCTCTGGAAGTAAAGAAAAGTTTAAAGTTGTCACAACATAAAAAGCCTGCCTGAAAGGAAATAGTGCTGTAAGTGTCGGAGCTGTTTTGAGCTAAAGGTCCCGGTCCGTATCAAGAGGAACCTATAAGAAACAATGCACTAAAAAATAGAACATTTTTAGCTTTATTTTATTATTCATTTTATTAGCTTTATTTTATCATTATTATTTTAGTTGAATTAATTTTTATTGTACTTTTCTAGGGAACATTTTGCTACCAGAAGATTTTGTGAATGAGTTAAATCCTAAAGTAATTCTCATCGATTTCGAATTTGGTGGTTACAATTTTAGGTAAATAATTTTTAAAAAAAGGAATTACTAATAAAATTGTTTTTTTTCTTCCCAAGTTTCCAAAAAAATATTTAAGACTCAGATTTCTCCATAAAAATAATTTAATACAAAAGCAAAAAATTTTTTGAATAACATTTAATATTGATTAGAGGAGAAAATACAATATTATTTTTGTATATTAAATCTGTATTTATAGCTAATGCGAGACTTAAGATTTTTGAAATTCTATAGTTAAATGACACATAAAAAAATCGTCACTGGAAGTATCTGATTCCAATTTTCTGTCCAAAATAATTAAAATTCGTCGCCTATTTCGGCGCCTGAAATAAATCAAAATAAAATTATTTTGGAGTTCTGTTCTCATTGATAAAGATAATTTTTTTTAGTCAACTACTTACACCACAAAAAGTCTGATAGAATTTTTTCAAACTTAAAAAAGAAAAAAAAAATTGTAGTTATTGAAACGTCCTAAAAGTCAGAAATGTAAAGTTTTAGTAGAATATAATATGCGTTGAATATTGTACAATACGTTTTGGCAAACTTAGAAATAATACAGTGTAGTTACAAAGCTTTTCGTTTTTAGCTTTTATCTAGGACTTGAAAGACAGACATCTCTAATTTAATTTAAAAATCTAAATTTGGAACTAAATCCAAAATCATTCTGTTTGGAACTTTTTTTACCAAAATAGTAGCTAACAGAAGAAAATACCCATTCAATTTTATCTGAAATTTATGAGCACTTTTTTATTTTATTTATTTATTTTTATTTTATTTATTTATTTTGTTGTTTACTGTTATATATCTATGCAAATTTGTAGCTATTTTCTCTGTTTAGGGCTTTTGACATTGCAAACCATTTTTGTGAGTGGGTATATGATTATGATGTTACCGAACCACCTTATTTCAAAATAGATAACAGCAAATATCCAACAGAAGAAGAAAAAGTACGCATTTCTACTTTCTACCTAGTGTTTTAAAATTAAATAGTAAAGAAAATGCTCGAATCTTAATTTTCCAGCACTTTTGTACGTGGGTGTGTGATTGTGATGTTACTGAGTAACCTACACTATTGAAATCTATCAAATCACTAATGAGGATGGCGGGATGATTAAATAAAAAAATAAAAAACCTGTTTGATTTATTAAGGAAACTGAGAGGAGTTGAAAGCATATTATTTTTCATCAGGCCACCAAACAGATTTTGAAGTTTTCGTTCTGTCTTTCTAAGTAGCGATTCCTTAGATTTTGATATTGCTGTTGTTTCTTCCTCTCTTACCTATTTATTTGCTATTTATTTTACAAAGACTCTAAAAAAGTAAAAGAGTGGGTTTACCTGTATACTTACAATCAACTAGTATGCGATCGAATTATAATCATAGTAACAGAAAAGTTTCAATTCCCTGAATTAGGTAGTAAATCATATTTTCCTGTTAGCAGTTCTTGCAATCAAGTATAAGATCTAATTATAATCATGATGAGGCAAAGGTTTGAATATTTTATTTTTATTTTATAACCGTCGTTGAACAGCCGACCCAATTTTTGGGTTTACGACTACTAAAGTTCAACTACGTAGACTTGTCATTTTGAACCCAATCCAGAAAACAAGGGAACTCCTTGATCAAGTATTGTGAGAAATTTGCCTTCGTGGAAGACTTTCTGAGGGAACTAACCCGCATTTGCGTTACATGGAGAGGAAAACCACGTAAACCTCCCACGGTCAGCCTGACGGCAAGGGGACTCTAACCCATGATCGGTCTACCACTGAGGATATTTCACGTCAGCACTGTGGTCGGTGCAAGCTGGATGCCGAATTCGTATCGACTGAGATTCGAACCCGGTTCCCCTTATTGGAAGGCGAACGCTCTATACCCTATACCCTGAGCCATCGCTGCTCAAGGTTTAAATATTCTCTGCATTGGGTATTAATTTATATTGATGAGCGCAATTAAGGAAAAGAAAGGTTTTTCTCTTTTTAAGAACAACATAAGAAACGCCTATACGGTAATAAGGTGTCACATGATATCTAAGTTTTTTTTGCGGACACCTCTGCCGCGCAGTGGCCTGTGAAGTCGTAAGGCAGAGGCGTTGTGATCGCGCTTGTGTAGAGGTACATCTAGTAGCTTAAGGACATTTTGAAACATCGTAGATAAGTCCAACCCCTGTTTTTTTTTATTGTTTGTTTGCTCATCGTTAGTATGGCAGTTGTCATTGTCTAGACTATGCCACAAGGTGGCGGATAGTTAGAAGACTCGAGGCTGGGTAATCAAAGGCCACCTGTTGTAAATACAGCGATGTCTCAAGAAATGTGGTGTCCACTCCGTGGAAACAGTTCTCAGAGATAGGAACAATGGACCGCTGACTTGGTCAAGGCCGTAACAGCGCCGGTTCAAGACCGTTATTTCAGACTTCTAGCCGAAAGTGATTGGTGTGCGACAGCAACATAACTGTTTTGCAACCTATATAATGCTGCAGGAACATTCATTTCATGCATCACCCATAGACTTAAAACACAAGTTCTCTATATGTCAGATGTTTTATAGTCAGCATCCCTTTCACTATGAGCCGCGAAAAGCACTCTTGGAAGAATGCGGAGAACACATTTGGTTTGCACATTTGGTCAGTCTGAACATCGATTCGAAACGTGTTCTCCCCTTAAGAAATTCTGGGAGTCGATATCAGCCTCCTAACATTGTCGAAAAGGACCACTATGGTTGATGTGGTCTGATGGTTTGGCCAGGCATCATAGCAGACTAGAATACTGACTTTCATTAGTTCGATAGGGAAGATCAGCGGTACAGGTACGAGATCCTTTCCCCTGATGTAAGACTTTTCCGTGCAGCATAAGGATCAAATTTCAGATTTACGGACAATAACGCCCGTCCAGACAGGTCTCAGTTGGTCGACGAATACTTTAAATTTGAATATATTCAAATATTAGAGTGGCTTATAATGTCCCCTGACCTTAATCTTATCGAACACGTATGGGATTCTTGAAAGCTCTATTGTTGCTCGAAGACCAGATTCAACGACCATCAATGAGCTCAAGGATGCCTTAAAAGAGTGGTTGTAGTTGTCTCAGAGATTGATAAGAACCCTAGTTAACAGTATGAAACGCCGATGAGAGAGTTGTGCAGTTGTTAGAGGCGATCATGCACCCTATTAGAAATGGGTTTTTTTTCTGACTGACAGCTACTGTACTGGACAAGTTACCAGTTTCCTTATTTAGGGTACAGATTGTGCCCATTTTTGTTTTCTCATATATTGGTCTTATATCGGATGATATGCAGACCAGGTTTGATTTTATTTGATCTGTCAATTTTTTTATTTCGAAAAGAACCATTTGTCTCTTCAATTGATTCACTTAGTGTATAAATCAGTTGTTGGATATCTTATCATCAAATATGGGATCTAATTTAATCATAATAAAGAAAAGATTATGATTCTCATATATTAATTAGTAAATTATAAATCCGAGAATATATTATGATCAACAAATATATGATTTAATTATAATCATAATAACGGATAGGTTTGAATTCTCAGTATTAGGTAGTGAATTAGAAAAATTCCTAATGTGATTTTCCATCTCAATCTATGCTACTCCAAGATTAAAGAAGAGAAATTTCAAGTATCTTTTGTTATTTCACCTAACAAGTGTTCGTACAAATTGTTTACTTTTGCTGTTTATTGCAGATAAAGTTTATCCGGTCTTATCTGAATCAGCTGGTCTTGGAAGATATTCTTAAATCCTCAGTAGTCGACTATGAAACCGATAAAATTCTGGACGAAGTCAAATTCTTTAGCATGGTCACGAGACTCTACTGGGCTTTGTGGAGCGAAAAAAACAAATATGATGCCAACATTGGCGTATTTCACAAAGTTAGTATTATTTTCAGAAACTACTTAATTTTTCACTAATCACTTTTAAACATTTTTATTTTACTTTTAAACTTTAGGAAAATTCCAAAGCAAGACTAAAACAATACTGGAAATTTAAGGAGCAGTATTTGGAAGAAAAATCCTCAGAATTAAGTAAAGATAACAGCAACTTTGTATCTAATATCAATGAAAGTACAGTTTCAGATCGACATTAGAATAGATTAAGTTTATGGTTGTAAGAGTGAAATATGAAAAGGTCACATTCTTTAAATAATTGGCAATTACCATTGCACACGTGAGCCAGACAATGCATTTGATTATGAATTGACTAATAGATGTTTATTCAATGTAAAAATAAAGCTTCAATCGATCGCATACGTAAAGTTGTGACTAATACTCACTTTTTACCTTAATTATTGCACACATTTTTTAAACTTTTTGCTCCATACTTATTGTCTGTGTTTTCTTACATATTTTTCACTAATAAATCTAGATATTTTAATAAAAAATATTATATCTTGCTGAAATTAAATAAAATTTTCAATAAGTTCAATAAATGTAATTCTTCAGAAATTAATTGACTTATTGATCATTTCGTAAATAAATGGTATGTTCTAAAATCTTGTTCATAATTTTGATTATTTTACGATTTGAGAATAATCGGTTAAGTGTTGAACCATAATCTTGGCATCTTGAACCATAATAAGTTGCAAATTTACTGCAACCTTAATGTGGTAAAATGAACTATATTACTGCTCAATAGTATCCTGTAATCAAGTTCATAAGTATGATAATATGGTTCAACAACAGCACAAAATGCAAAACATCTGATAAATTGAGCAAATAAATGAAATAAAAGAAATGAAAAAAGAGAAGCCTTTACTAGATTTCGTTATTTTACACCAAAATATTTTTACCTCTAAGGATGTGGTTTAACGCTGTTTTTCGATGCTCTGTCGCATAGGAAAATAAAAAAGCAATATTCAAAGTGAAGCACACGTGAAGCAATGTGATTATTATAAACTATACATATAATTTTGCCGTGAAAAGTTATCTGGGCTCTAGAAAAGACAAACAACTTAAATATTTTAAGAGTTACTAAACTTTTTTTAAAAATTGCCAATTTGGCGGCATTTTTTTCACCTGGATGAAAATTATCAAAATCACTACCTTATTCTCAGTTTTTACAAATTTTTATGAGCCCAAGCAATGCAGCATTAGAGTAAGTTTTTGTTGTTGCTGTTCATTTAAGTCGCACTAGAGCTGCACAATTGGCTATTGGCGACGGTCTGGGAAACATCCCTGAGGATGATCCGAAGACATGCCATTGCAATTTTGATCCTCTGGATGGCACCCCCGCTTCAGTAGCCCGACGACCTACGCGCGACGTCGAGTACTTTACGGTAGAACAGTTTAACGAGGACCAATACCGCACACCCTCGGTCCCTACGCAGACTAATCCAAGTGGTCACCCACCCGCACACTGACAGCAGCCAGTGATGTTTGACTTCGGTGATCTGCTGGGATCACCGAAGCTTAAAGATCAGTCTTAAAGATCAGTCCACTGCGGGTAGAATAAGTTTTCAAATACTAAAAAATTAGACCACAAACGCTTTTAATTTTCACAAAACTGTGGCTTTTCTCCATACAGACGTTTTGCGACATTTTTAAAATAAGTGTAGACAGCGCTGGCTTTAGATGGACTAAACTTGACCTGACAGTCTCGAGTAACAGTTACAAACTCGTAGCAGTTAAAAAAAATAGGCTATTATTCGCAGAAAAAGCACAATTTCATAATACAACGGAGCCTTTGAAAAACAACCTTAAATGCCCTTAGCCCGCGAATTTCCATAAAAAGTTTTAGGCTTGAAACATTCAACGTTTATTAAGAAGAAAAAAAATCCGAAAATAATTAGGTAAATAACAAACAACGTAGTGCTTTCAAAACTAACTGTACTTCAAGTTGAAACGACAAAGTTTTTTGTATCAACAGAGTTACATTGTTTTTAAACATTTTTTTTTAAATTCGGGATTGTGCTCACAAAAGGACATCAATAGAATTACAAAGTAAATCTTTAAAGTAGGAGTATTTTACCTACTCATAATTAAAGACGACAACTGTCTTTTAACCGTACTCTGCTGAAGAGTACTGGTAATTAAGCTCGATTAGCAAGGATTAACTTAAACTTAAAGATTGAATTAAATTCAAAGATTGATATTTAGTTAGGGTTTTACAATTATCAAACGGTAAAATAACTAGAGTTACTTTTTCTTTAATAAGTTCTAAGTAAACCTGTGTCACATCAACATATCGCTGGTTCAAAACTAAAACGCCTAACGACACATCTGTACTCACTTCTCATGTTATTTGAATGAGAAGTGAGTCCAGAAGTGTCGTTTTAGTTTTGAACCAGTGATATGCAATTAAAAAAAATGCAAAATAACTAAAATTTTTAAAACAATGTTGGGAATTAACTTTTCAGCAAATAACAAATAGCGAGTTTTTATAGTGACCCAACTTCTAAAAAAGGAAAGCTTAAGAAAAGGAACAATTTTGAAGATAAAGTTTTAATGGAAACCGTACAAAATGATTAGGATCAAAATTAATCCTAACAGAATCGGGAGTACTGATCAGCAGATCAGTAAGTAGACCCAAATCTATATTATAAAATAAATAGTTGTGGGATTTTTTTTATTAGAATAATTATGATGTAATAATCTGTTTATCGTTCAAAACAAAAATGTTTGCTTAGCAATCATAGGGATAGCGAGCAGGGAGAGTAAGGTTCTCTAGTCTTATAAAAAATATTAATGTAGAGTTTTGACTTAAACTTATTTTGAGGTGGCAGCAACCACTTAATGTTAAAATAAATCGAAGTAACTAGTAAATTAGCTAATAAAAATAATTAAAACAGAATTTAATTAGAGGATGAATACGATTATTCTAGTTTTTTGAGTTAAATGATTCCGAGAAGGAAATACGAAATTATATCACAAATGCCGCAAAAAATATATCTTGACGTGGGTTTAACTTCTTATTTCCATAAAATCCGAATTCTTATTAGTTTATGAGGAGTTATTAGTTTACAGACTCATTGCTTTAAGATTACATTAAAACAGTAGAAAGATTAAGCTTCAGGTGAAAAAAATACAACGATAGTGATTTTTCCCCCTCGTAATTTAACAATGAACATTCTTATTTGCTAAGAATCTCTTGACATTTTTGAGGTATATTGGTTTGGGTTCATGACGAACTAGCCATTTAACCTTGGCATCAGATCTAAACTCTTTTTCACACGAGGTTAAAAGTGTGTTGAATTTGTTTTGGAAATCACTTGTAACAGGTGTCAAAATACTTGTCCTATTTCTATTGGGATACAAGAGCTCTGGGAAATACTTAGCAAAAATTATTTTTATTTCTCTGGTTAGTACCATTAACCTTATTTATAACTAAAAACTTTACAGCATCAAATCTCAACAGTTTATGTTCGATCAATTTATCGCAAGTCAAGGCAAGTGAAAGAAAAAAAATGACGATAATATTTAAATGGATCTACCAACAATAGACAATCTCTATTAATAATAAAATAATGAATCTGTCTGTGACTAAATATGTGACGATTTGAAAATAAACGATGGCACTTACGGATATAAAAAACAAAATGATTTAAATAATTATGATTTAAATTAAATTAATTTGGTAAATTAAAGGTTAACATTTATAAATCTGAATAATAATACATAAATTCAATAATATTTTATCAAACCTTGGTGACCAAAGACTGCAATCATACTCTGATATACAACAATGTATAAACTACAAATGCAATACATTGCAACAATAGTAATAATACCTTTAAACTGAGTTAATAATCTAATGTCGATTATATGATCAATATTAGTCCTTGTTGCCCCAACATCAACATTGGTTGCCTGATACCAACAAAAATCAAACGTATAAGTATTACTTACTAATCAAACACAAGTTGACAACTGTATAGCTGCCTCCGATGAAGGGCTAATGCTTTCCATAAAACGTTCTGAAGAGTTAATGTGATAAGTTCGAATCTCATCATAACCCTTGGTATATCTCTATGCTGTCCTGCTATCTTTTCTTAAATTTGACTAAGGCTCAGAAGTCGCACCTTGCATTGAGAACACAAGCACAGATATGTATTTGCTTACGAATAAACAAATAAACTTACAGTATAATTTATTAATTTGGTTTGAGATAGTTAATTCATTTGTAAACAAAAATAATGATCAACAGAAGACGATTAGGTGAAATACTTATAAATGAAAAACAAAAGATGATGTAAAAAAAAGTTCAATGAATTCAGAAAGAAGCAATGACTATGCGCCAATAGGATTTAACCAGATACAAAGTATAGAGTGGACCTGTTTCAGTCACATATAATCTAGTGCAAAAGCGCCACGATCGAACATATCTCTACACATTAACCGGATCGAAAACGTTACCAACAGACCTGGTTTGTTCTGCAAAGAATAATAGGTGGTGATCAAAAGCATAAACATCTTCTTCGGAAGAACAAACACTTTGAGATCATTTTCTGTAAGAGTTAATGAAATTTATGGTTATGTGACTAACTCAGCGTTAAGTCTCTGAAGTTCTAGAATGAGGGATCGTTTTATAAAATGTGTGCTCAATACGGCTTAGAAATTTATTTCAAACGAAGAAACAATAGAATAAGTAACAGAAAGACATGCAAATAGAGAATGAAAGATACATTTAGTAGCTTAACTATAGCAATCGAACCCGTTGACTCTACGCTCCAAAACGTTTGATAGAAAAACAGAATGGCATCAAAAATCTCCATGAGAAGATTCAGAAAATAATTTTAGTCAAGATATGGGCATCATCATCGCGTCACGTGATAAATTAAACTGTTTGTAGAGTTCGCTAGATCGAAGGGAATACCGAACCTGCAACCTGTCATCGAGCACATCCTGATATTCCTTCTGCTCTCGGAAATTAGTTTTAACAGACTGCAAGATACAGATGTCATTTTTGTCATCGCGCACTTTTTCCCAGCATATATATATATATATATGAGAAATCACGAAGTACAACTACTACTCAGTGTGTTATGCACTTTTTTTGTATTTTAATTTATTTTAAGTTAGTCACTCAGTTTTCTGACTGTATCTTTTTCCAGAAAATAAAACTTTTATTTTTATCTTCTGATTGTTATGATGTTGTCTTCGGTTCACGCAAATGTGAGAACGTTATATCAAGTTCCTACATGTTAATAGTTAAATATTGTTGAATAATAGTTGAATATAGTTTTCAGTTCTATATAGTTTCCCAACTTAAAAGATTTTAATCTATTTGAGAAATCAAGACAGAAACTAACGTACTTCCTTTTTCTATGACACTCCACACGCTAATTGTGAAAGCATGTGAAGTGTTGCCATAGGTAAAAAGTTCTGCTCTACGCCACCTGCCTGTAGACCATTTCGATCGCAAATACTTGCGTAAAATATCACCGTTAGTTATTTTTGGGGGTTGCATCTTGTAGGGCACAGTATGCTTGCATAACAACCTTCTTACTGCAAGCGGTTCACGCACAATGAATCTACAAGGAAAGTGTTTAGAGAAAGAATCGATTTGATTTCCTCAATTAGGTTCTCATATTTCCGACTGTGACCAATGGTTGCGGGAGTCGTCTGCTGTGAGAGTAGCCCTTGAGAAATCATTAACAGTGTATGCCATTCGTTGATGCAATAAATACGCATCGCAAGTAAATACGATTCATGCATGCGCGATCAGTTACTCTTTCCTGTAATTTCATACAGCAATCTAGGGCAATCGGCTGTAGCGTGAAGGGCCCCTTAATTATTAAATATTCTCCCACGTAAAAATAGCCAATGCCCAATCAGGTCCTCTCTTTCTCTCACCGGTAATTTGCATGCATTGAGAAGAGTAGCATATAATTTTCAAGAACCGATCACTCTACATGCAATTCACGATCCTCCTATTCCCGTCATATGAAAAGGGCAACCTTATTTTTGAAATTTTTGCCGGAGAATATATCAATAAAGTTCTCATTCTCCTTCGGTGGTCATCGGTGGTGCGTGAATTGCATGAAGCAAGAATATCTCTTCTAATGCACTTGATGAAGACATGGTTGTTGTAGTTCATTTACGTCGCACTAGAGCTGCACAATGGGCTATTGGCGACGGTCTGGGAAACATCCCTGAGGATGATCCGAAGACATGCCATCACAATTTTGATCCTCTGCAGAGGGGATGGCACCCCCGCTTCGGTAGCCC